TTATAGGTTAAAAAAAAAAGAAGATAGTAGGAAAGGAAAAATGAAGGGGGGGAAATTGGAGGGGGAGACCAACCATGAGAGACTATGGACTCTGAGAAACAAACTGAGGGTTCTAGAGGGGAGGGGGGTGGGAGGATGGGTTAGCCTGGTGATGGGTATTAAAGAGGGCACGTACTGAATGGAGCACTGGGTGTTATATGCAAACAATGAATCATGGAACACTACATCAAAAACTAAGGAGGTAATGTATGGGATTAACATAACATAATAAAATTAAAAAAATGTAAAATAAAAAAATATACAGTGACATGTCTCTTTTATATCTCATACCAAAATAAATACTGTATGAGTTTTTAAATAAAGGCACCTGGGTGGCTCAGATGGTTAAGTGTCTGCCTTCAGCTCAGGTCATGATCCCAGGGTCCTGGGATCAAGTCCCATATCGGGCTCCCTGCTCCTTGGGAGCCTGCTTCTCCCTCTGCCCCTCTCTCTCTCTCTGTCTCTCATGAACAAATAAATAAAATCTTTAAAAAAAAATAAAATAAAATAAATAAAAAATTAGAAAGCAGTAAAGTGACAGAAATCTGTACTTGAATATTTACATATTTATAGAGTTTTGGAGTAGGGAACCTCTTTTTAAGATAAAAATCATTAAGAGAAAAACAGATTTGGTGATAAAATATTCTATTTATCAAAAACATACATAAAAAGCTAATTTCAAACTCACAAAATGGTTCCAATATATATAAACAATAAAATACTAATATAACTTATAAGTAGCTTATATGGATCAATAAAAGAAAAGATAAACAATCCAAAAGAAAAAAAAAAGAGCTAATGACATAAACAGGCCAATTTACAAAAGAAAAAGTACAAATTTTCACCTATCAAATTGGCAAAGATGAAAAGATGGTGATTATGTTTGACAAGGGTACAAGAAATGGGTACTCTTGACCATGCCATGGACAATCATTCTTGAGGGAAACTTGGCAGTTTGTATGAAAAACCTTAAAAACATGTATTATCTTTCCCTTTATATGAAGTATCTAAACTAGACAAATTCATAGAGACAGAAAGTAGAACAGACATTACCAGGGGCTGGGGGAGGAGGAATAAGGAGTTACTGTTTAATGAGTACAAATTTTCTATTTAGGATGATGGAAACATTCTGGAAATGTAAAATGGTGATGGTTGCACAACACTATGAATATACTTAACCCCACTGAATTGTTTACTTAAAAATGATTAAAATGGTAAATTTTATGTTGCATATGTTACCATGATTTTCTAAAATTCCATTGCATGGCCATATACATTTATTAAACCATTTTTCTATTAGTGAATATTTAGGTCTTTCCCAAATTTTTAACAATAAAAACAACATTACGAATAAAAAAAGTATATCCCTTTCTGCTCCCGGGTCCTGTCCTCATGCTTTAATAAAACCACCATTTTGCACCAAAAAAATAAAATAAAATAAAAATAAAAAAGTATATCCCTAGACCCAGCATTTTTATTTGTTAGTATTTATCCTATTGTAATAATGAAGAACATGAGTTAAGATATATATTTTCCTCCTAGCACTGTTTGTAATAATAAAAAGTGGGAAACATAAATAACTAATATATAGGATTGGTCAAATAAGTGATCGGACACAGTAGAAAATTAGGCAGCCATTAAAAAGTATACTATAGTCATATATCTATTGATATTAAGGGGAAATGATTAAAAAGAGTATGTGTGTAAACCTTAAAGGAAATAAATGTTCGTACTTGCATAGGAAAGTACCTGGAAGAATATATAAGTCTTTGCCAGTGGTTATCTCTGAGTAAATGGGATTTGTTACTTATTTATGCTCTTTTTCTTACTTGTTAGATTTTTCTGCAATGAGCATGAACTCTCTCTGGGAAAACAAACAAACAAAAAAACCTAACAAAAGAAACTTAATTTTGAAGAAATCATTAAAAAACCCTCCTAGTTATTTTTCCTTTCTCAAAAGTAACACTGTGCTTTCCCTTACTGTACAAAGTGCCCTCCCCCCCCAAAAAAAGAAAACACCAACTGACAGTCTGTTTATTATTATCTGACAGACCAGCAGATAATTCTTTCTCTGAACTAAATAATTATAAATTCGGTGATATTAAGAAATTCCTTTGGGCTTTTGGTTTGCTTCTAAGCTGTCCATTACAGGTATATGTGTAAAGCGTCTAATGAAAATGCTTTCTACTTTTGCTAATGAGATGGTTTTCCTTTTACAAAGGAAGGAGATGCTGTCACTGAAGAGTAAGGCTACACACGGAGCATGGGAGACATTCAAGTGTCTGAACAGAACCCATTAAAATGAGAGCAGGAAAACTGTAATGCCTTATACAGTATCCCAAAAGCTTGTGCAATTGTAGAAGAACTAAAACAATGAGTCTGGAGGTAACAGATCCAGTCCCAAAAGCATTTTTGTTTGGGTGTCCCACACAGAAGTTGTAAATCTAGAACAGGAAACTTGAAATCATTAAGGTCACATATTTATAACATCACATTCAATTAGGTTAGAAAAGTGTAATTTCTGTCATCATGTCATAAAAAGATGTGTTTTTGTCTCAGATCTCTTATAAGGAAAGTCCCCTATATTGTTACAGATAGGGCTGTTTTCAATCAGTTACAAGGAGCAATTCAATTACTAGATGGTTTAGTGCAGTAACTGACTCCAGACTAATTTAATTTCTTTAGGTCTCTAAAGATCAATTGATCTGATTTGACCCATCCCCAAAGGCTGTTTAGGGAAAATTCAGACTTAAATACCTGGAAATGAAATCCAAAACCTTCGCCAATTTCACACTAGTTAGGTCATCCTGCAAACTTTCAGCTGGTCACAGAAGATGCTCTCTTCGCCCTCAGACCATTGAAAGCTACTCAGCTTCATGGACGTGTGAGTGCTCCCCACATCAGGATGCTTATTCAATAAGTGGAAAATGTGCCTGCATGCATTATCAAATCTGCTGTTCTAAAGGGCAGTCAGCCTGGGGACTCGTATCTCATGAGCACACGTGCAAATAAGGGGCTATTTTTACTCTAGGAGTAGTTTATTAAGACTATTAGAAGTACACTTAGATGGGGCAAAAAATAATTATTATTTCACATTTTTAGATTTATAAAGTGTTTCATAAATGTCACCTTACTTGGTTCTCATAATAAACCTTTGAAGGAGCAGGGTTGTTTTTCCCATCTTCTAGATAAGGAAACAGAGGCTGGGAGACTTCTCCAGGATCACTCAGCCAGTACAAGGCAGAGCTGGGACTCTAACCCATGAGTTTGTCTCCCAGTATATCATGCTCACCCCCTAATCTGAGATAGAAGATAAGGTACACACTATAAAAACACACCACTGCCCTCCCACTGAGCCACTGTCTTCATTCTTATCTGCTACCTGACTGAAATGAAGAAGTTCACTTCTAATCCCACCTGTATACATCCAGTTGGGAGTCACTGCTTCTGGCTCTCCAGAAATAAGAGATGAAAAAGGTCATGGCTGAATGAGAGCAGCCTTTGTAAATGGACTTACTTGTCACCCACACTGCTGATGCCACATTCTCACTGACTTGGGTCTCAAGGCCTATCTGCTTGCCTATGTCCCACTGCATTGGAGAGCTATCCATTTGGTGTCTCTCTGCAGTCTGCAATCGACTTCCAACCACAAGCTCAAGTTTCCTTCCCTGATCTCAGCCCCCTCAACCACTTGTCAAGCTCTCCAGTGACTTAATTTCTCTCTTCTACTTGAATCCCACAGCACCTGCTCCACTTTCAGCCTCTCCTGCCTCTCCAGCCTCTCCTGCTGGCCTCCTCACTTAGCCTCTATATCTTTTCCTCCAAATCAAAACCCGCTGTGCTCTGCTACTTGGGAGGGCTGAAGGAAGGATCAGATAGATATTGCTAAAATATGCAATGACCCCTTCATCTGCATTTCCAGGAAGGTTGGAGAGAAGTGCCGAGGTCAGGAGATGTGACCATGTGTTAGATAACAAAGAGTGTGACAGAAATGTATAGCAGTTGGTGGGGAGGAAATCACCCAAAGACCTGGAAGTAAAATACACCAGAAGTTGTGGTGGCTAGGGTACACCACCTGTCAAAGAAAGACTCTGGGCCACATAAAAGAAGAAGTACAGAAGATGAATAAGGTCTAAAGATCTAATGTATAACATACTGACTAGAGTTGATAACACTATTGTATAATTGAAATCTGCCAAGAAAGTAGAACTTAAATGTTCTCACACAAAAAAGTACAGAACATTCCATAGTATGTGTAAGGGATACAAACAATCAGGTTGAAAAATCTTCTCCCTAAAAAACATCATTTTTTTGACATTCCTATGGGCAAGCTATGGATCTCAACGTAGTCATTACTCGCCATGTAGATGATCTCACACTGTGTAAACCATTTTAATTAAGTAAAAAGTGGAGTAAGTTACAGGCCCGTGATTGTCACTTGTCTTCTTAAAGGTCCTGAGACCTGATGTCTCTCCTATTAAATATGAGCAGTCTATGCCGTATGTAAAATATGTGCCTTGAATTAAATGACGTCTCTTTGCTTCAGAGTTCCAAACTACTCATATTCTTCAGGCTAGCAAAAATGTCCACTTCAGAAGGCTAAGGCTATCGAGATTCCATTTCTCTGCAGATTGCCACCTAAGAGATACAGCTTAATATCATCAAAAGGACTGAATCTTTGATAAGGAAGAAACCCTATTTTTTTACAGTTGAGTCAATGTCCTGACCAAAGAAACCACTTCCTCGGAAACAGCGTGGAACAGATGCAGGTGCAGCAGCTGTCAGAGCTTAAGCAGCTGCATGTCTACAGGGCTTCGAGGTGGAAGGGAAGGTGGGCTGGGGGGTCGGAGACTATCTAAGTAGGGTTATGGCACTTGGGCGTTGAAAGGAGTGTGTTCTTACAAACTCACTCTTCTCTTTATCTTATCTGGACAAAAAAGTAAACAGAAAATTCTCATTACCTCTCAATGTCAGTGAGCCTGGAGGAGTCCCGGAATCCTTTGGCAAAAGGGTTGCTATCTATTTTCAGCTTGGTTATCTGCAAAAGAATGAATGGGTAACAGAACAATATCATTTCCGAGGTCAAGGAAGCAAAATCATAAATAAAGAGTTTGTTCATTTTCCATGCTGCCCCAAGAATACTTAATGTCTTTCAAGATCGTGAGAAGGGTGGAAAGTGATAGAGAAGTTCACAGGAGGGAGGATTCACAGCCCAGTGGGACAGTTGGTCAGGGAGGGCTTCAGAGATGAGGGATTTGAGGACTGGCTGGTCCTAGAAAACAGCCCGAAGGTCAATGGATAGAGACAATTAGGGAGGGGGCCTTTTGTGAACAGTGTGGCTGCAAGGTGAAGAATTTAAGAGACCAGTGAAAGGCTAGGGTTCCCCCGGAGAATGGGAGAGCTGTCTAGCAGATCAGCATTGGTGGGTAATGGGGAATACAAACAAAAATGTTGCCTCCTGCTGACTTGGCAGCATCATTTGTGAATCCTATAGGCGCGCATATATATATATATACACACATATATATATGTATATATGTATATGTATATGTGTGTATATATATATATACATAACATAATGGAGAAAAAGATAAAATGGCCAATAATAGCTTCATGTTCAATACTGTACTGAAATACATGACATAAATACATGATATAAAACTTTCAGAATATAGATTTACCCCTGCTCCCCTTCCATCTGACCAAATTAGAATCAACCAGTCTTTTGTTATCCTCCCATACAATGCTATTTATAGACTCTGTGCTTATATAAAAGAAAGTATTCCTTAATAAGAATCATAGTCTGAAGGATTAAGTATTTAGTAAGATGTGCTAGTCCATAATTCCCACAGTATTAATATAAAAAGATCCATTAAATCATATGTGCCGTGCCTCCAAAGAAACAGACATTAGGTTATGAAGCAAAAAATAAACGCTGAATAAAAGATACTCGAGACTCGTAAAATTCCTGATTAGAGCCAAAAAGAACCCAGAAGGACCAAGACACAGCTAGTCACTCTCTGAATTAGAACCATAGACACCTTTAAAGAGAGTCCTAGCTCACTGGCATCAGAACAAGAACCCACGCTAATCTTTAGAGAGAGATGCACAAAATAGTCTTAGCCTGGAGAAAAGTTTAAAAAGTTGAGGCATGTCCTCCTCGTAAGCACTAAACACAATTATAGATTGCCTGAAATACTCTCTCACCAAAACACAACGTTTTCTCTGATCAGAGTGTATCTGCTATTCATTTTAAATCATTAACACCTAAAGAATTGCCTTTTTCATTACAAAAGAAAGGCATTATTTCCCTTTTCGAATTTTCTAAATATGAGCTAACCAATGTACAAGCTGCAAAGAAGCTACTCACCTCACTTAAAATAGAACTTCCCACGCTATCCTATCCAGAGACCCCCCCTTTTCTGTCATGAACACTGACCAGTTATAAGATTATTTGATAGTATTAATTTCTAAGAGTGCATGACAGTGTCTCACAAATGCTCATTGTTAGCCTTTTCACTCTAGTGCAGCCAAAAAAAAAAAATTACTAATTTCCTTTTCAGCTTAGTTAGTGGACATGATAAACAAGGAAGGAAGGAAGGAAGAAAACTGTTCTTAGTAAATAACAACAGCTAATTTAAATTTGCATATAAAGAAATACACAGGAACCTCTGAGGTTGCCTCTAATATGTGGCCATCCAGAGTTTGTAGACAACCTTCTCTAGCACACTGCTACCACGGTCATAGCCATGGATTTCTCAAGGGCGAAGTCTGTTTCAGCCATCTTTCAGACTACGATTTAGTTTTGCAGGTCCATTTTCAGGATGCAGGAGAAAATTTTTATTTGTCTCAAATAAACCATAAGCATCTTCTAAAGCACAAGCAATTAGTATGTCCTAAGATTATAAAACACCAACTAGATTTTTAAATCCTCAGTCAGGAGCTGCGTCTCTTTCTATTGAATAATTAAAGGTTAAAATGCCTTATATTTCTAAAGTGCTTTATGGTTCATGAAAGTGCTTTCAAATTCATTGACAAATATTTAATGTGGATGGATTACTTATCATGCACTATGCCAAGTGTTGGATGGTACAGAGATAAAGAACACGTGGGCCCTGCCCTAATGGAGCTTCAAACTGCAAGGCACAAGCAGAGGGACACATAGCTTACCAGAACTGAAGGTGATTTACATGCTACTAAAGAGGGTGACACCACATCCACTGCAGTGTTAGTGATTTAAGCGTGAAGCAAACCCAGATGAAAATTTCAAACTGAAACTGTGAGGTAGAACAATAAGTCTTCTTTCAAGCTCAATTCCTATAAGCTAATTAATAAAATGTAAAAGTGAATAGATAAAATTGCATGGAGACAGTGACAGAGGGATAGCTCAGTCGTTAAGCGTCTGCCTTCAGCTCAGGCCATGGTCCCAGGGTCCTGGGATAGAGCCCCGCATCGGGCTCCCTGCTCGGCGGGAAGCCTGCTTCTCCCTCTCCCACTCCGCCTGCTTGTATTCCCTCTCTTGCTGTGTCTCTCTCTGTCAAATAAATAAAATCTTAAAAAAAAAAAAAAAAGACAGTGGCAGATATCTGATGGAAAAAGTAATTTTGAAAGAAGTCCTTTTACAGCCCTTCCTCTAAGATGTGAACTGTATCATTTAGTTTGAGTCTTTACAAACTAAAAGAATAGAAAGTATTATCTCTCTGTTGTAATGATTAAAGGACTTTTCATCTGCTTGGTCCCTGTGAAGGATTTTGAAAATTGTATTTGCTTTTCTTCATTATTTCCAAAAGGTAAAGACTATAGGTTCAGGATATGATGACTGTCATAGAGAATAAACACTCTCAGCAAGTGTGTGTTGTTGAAGCGGTATGTCACCATACCTACCATTACTGCCATCACTCTGAAAAAGTGAATTACATTCAGCAAGTTTTCAGATGTCTTTGGACTTTTCTTTCATCATTGGAATTTTCTATTTCGAGTATCTTTTTAGTCCCTCTTTCATAAAACCCAGGCAGATCACTGGTAACTTTTTTTCTTTTTCTTCACATGTTGATATAACTTCAAACTATAGCAAAGTTTCGAGAATAGAATGAGGTACTCTCATACACCTAGATTCACCAATCAGTTACAGCAATGATTTGACGTTAGTGTGCTAGCTAGAAATGGAGCTTGAGACTTTCTCCATAGATCATTTTATCTAATTCCGGGGAAAATAACTGCTTTTGGAAGTTAAAGGAAATAAAGCTGAATGGATGTCTAATTACTAAAATTGTAGGGGGGTCCCGGAGTAACACTACAATTTCGAACAGGTTTTATGGAGTACCGAGTAGCAGCACAAGGACTGTGAGTTAAACTTCTTAATGCACCCACCGTGCTCACTGTGCTATCACTAGTCTCTGAGTTTACTGGGGTGTCAGCAGTAAGCACCCCCAGAAATGTTTGTTGAAGTTTGCTTCAAGGACAAGCAATGAGAAATAGGATTTCATCTTTTTACCAGTTATGGACTAGCAAAACTTCCTGAGTTTACCTAAATAACATTTCATTTTGCTTTCTAATTTTAAAATAAAATAATTTTTAAATAGCAAGATTTTAACATTCCAGGTAATCATACATTTTTAAAAGGTCAGGCATAGATTTTATTCCATGGATATTTCAATGAAAACTGGTAGTAACAGAGAAAGAAATTCATTTCTGAAGATACAGTTTTATATCCCTTTATACTATTTGGGATAACTGAAAAAGTTCTACATCTGCGAATTGATGAGAGAAAGGACCCAAGTTACAGACAGTGATCTCAGCTGGACCCTAATACAGAATCCCTGCCACTATGTGTAACGCTGTTGAACAATATCATCCATGTCAACGGTGAAACTGCAAAAGGATCCCCCAAGTAGCCAACTACCAAATATAATATGTTTAAAAATATATATATATGAAACTACAGGTACAGCTTGTAATTCAAAAGCAACATTTAAAAGTAGCAACTTTTTTCATTTTGTGAGGAAAAAGCGTTACAGGGCAGCTCTGCATGCTTAAGAAATCCCGCAGTTTTGTATATATGCAAATCACTGACTAATTCAGGCCAAAACACAGCCACTGTTTTTTCATCTGTTATCTCAATAATATAGGACATAATGCATTTCTTAGCCAGAAAATTCACTCTTAACATCTCCTTTGTCACAAGTGTATGCAAAACCAGAGAGCAGATTTTGACACTGCCAGTGGCACCGATGAGGGTGGCGGGGGAACCTCTCCCAGTGGTCATTATTCCAAGTGATACCGCTGAACTCTGGACCCAGCTGGGGTGCCCAGCCACAAGGTGAAATTGGTCCCCAGAGCCCATTTCTCCAATTATCAGGAAAAGATCTGTCCAAAGGCATTTAAAAATGAAACCTGACCTACACTTCAACTCTACAGCAATGGTCGGCCCGCTCAAAAACAATGCATGACCTTTAAATCTGAAATTATAAGATAGTTTGTTGAAAGTGTAATGTATTTAGGTTTTATCTAATAATGTAAAGAAATGCAATCATTTCCTTGCAAAAAAAAAAAGAGAGAGAGAGAAATAGCAAAATATGCCCCATTTTCATTACTTACAAATAAAACTACCACCCACAATAAATGAGAAGGTTTTTCACAAATTCTGTTGGAAACTGAATTGGCTTTTAATAGATATAAAAATAACAGTCCTGTCCAAAGTTTAAGAGATATGAAAGTGATCCTAAATGTGAACTTTTAAATCTTCCTCTCTTTTCTTTCTGTTCTTGTGCATGGAAAAATTCTAATCCTTATGCTAAGTACATGTTTACTTCCTATATATTTATTTTATTATATATCTGCTATAGGAAAATAGTACACAAGCATGGGTGCAGCTGTGAAAAAGTGGTAGATGTGGGGAGGCTTGAGAAAGAATCAAAGATAAGTTTAGAAAATTGCTTAAGACTAATAAAAATACTAACCCCCAAATTGACTTATTCATCCCACATATGTTTATTGAACATGAATTTCAATTGGTCTTATGAGGTTTTAAACCATTTGCAAAACAGGCTTATTAGTATACCAAATGAAATCTTTGACTATTACCTGAATTTCAAATATATATATATATATACATATGCATGGAAGTTATGGTTTAAAGGTAGATGTAAAGAAATAAATTCAGACACAGCAGGATCTATTGAGAAAAATTACGTCTGAATCTAATCACTTCTATTGTAGGTTATTTAGCAATGAAATGATATACTAATCATATTAATCTTTATACTTAATGATGCAGTGAATGAGAGCTAGGAACTGGTAACTAGATTTTGAGCCCATTTATAATCTCAATTAGAAATAAACATTTGCAAGAAGAACAACTAATGTTAGGATGTGTGTTTATTAGTACCTTTGTCTGTTTTAATTTAGCAACATTTTCAAATTCATTTTCAAAATGAAAATGAATGGTCACTTCCTTGGGCCTACAGTCTAGTTCCCGAGGTCTCCAAAGGAGGCTTTAAGACCTGGAAGATGGATCTGTCACTTACCAGATTTGTTACCTTGGGCAAATGTATTAACCACTCTGAACCTGCTTTTTCATCTACAAAACGGGGCTCCCAGGGCCTTCTTCGGGAGACTAGTGTCAGAATTAAATGAGATATTCAGAAAAAATGTAGATAGTTTTTTTCTAAATTAAAAGTAATAAATCCGAGCCATGAATGTTAGTTGGATCCTAGTTCAAAGGGGGGAAAGGATGGGGCGCCTGGGTGGCTCAGTCGTTAGGCGTCCGCCTTCGGCTCAGGTCATGAGATCGAGCCCCACATCGGGCTCTCTGCTCGGCGGGAGGCCTGCTTCTCCCTCTCCCACTCCCCCTGCTTGTGTTCCCTCTCTCGCTGTGTCTCTCTCTGTCAAATAAATAAATAAAATCTTTAAACAAAAAAAAAAAGGGGGGGAAAGGTTGTTGGTCCCTCCTGGAAATATTAATATGAAACTGAATTTTAGAAGATATTAGGAATAACTCTTATTAATTTTCTTAGCTGTGAAAAAGACATTGTGCTTACAAAAATAATATTCTTGTCAGTATGTACTTGTAGAAATATTGACAGGTAAAGTATCATGATGTATGCTACTTAGTTTCAAATGATTCAGGGAAGGAGAAAACTACATATACAGAGAAACAGAGCAGGCGAGGTCCAGGAAGGTCACCTTGAGTTATTTAACCCCATGCCTCAATTTTCCCAGCTGTAAATACAACAAACAAATACTGTTTGTTCCTATTTTATAATATCCTTGTGAAGATTAAATAAGACAATTCACTTTAAATGGTTCCCAGCACATAGTAAGTACACAAATATTAGCTATTGTTACAATTATGGAGATAAAACCTCATATTCCAGTGTACCATGACCTGAGAGGTCCTGCCAAGGTTTATTCAGGACTGCTCCTTCACCTATCAAACTAAATCTATAGTTTCTTAGAAACTTTCCTTCAATTTTCTTCAGTCTGTAATTTTCATTTAAAAAAAAAACAATTTACCTATTCTTGCTTTGGTTTTCTTTACAGAGAATTTTGATAAAAGCAATGAAATTTTCACATGACACATTTCTGGTTTATTCTCAAACATCAGCAGACTTCTTGTAGAAGTCCAAATCTAATGTCTTATAGTATAAAAGCTATAAATTCAATTCATGTAAAATGAATGTTTTAGGAATGTTTTCTGAATCTATATCTGTTTTACATGTGTCCTCGAATAAAAACTAGGATAGTTGATGTCAATGTTTCAGATTCTCAGTGAAACAGTATTAGGGTTTTATACCCCTGTAGGCTTCAATCTATACCCAACTTTTTAGCTTGGTCATTCTCTGAAAGTTTCTACTCTTGTGTTGTTGCCTCAGAGACAACCAAAAAGTTTTAATACTTTGCTTTTACTTTAAGAAGATTAGTATGATAACATTTGTGCCTTCATTTAGCTCATTAAAAAAATGTGCCACTAACATTTTAAAATCCAAAAAAGTGACACTTTTGTCACTTTGAACACTCCAGAGACAGTCCGATAGTCACCATATGCCTTATTTACAGGATGCCTGACAGTTTCCACACAGCACCACATTTGATCCTCACAGGAATTCCCAAGATGTTCTGGGCAGTTCTTAGCTCCAGTTAACAGGTAAGGAAAATGGCAGTGGTGAAGTAAAACCTACTCCAAGCCATAGAGAAATTATAGGTGCTTATGCCTTACAGACACACATCCACTCCTGCCTTTTGCTCACATTCCTTCCCTGGGCTCCTATTTCCTCATTTGTGTAGGGCTACCTGGCTCTCAGCTTCACCTTCTTACTTTTCTCGAGAGACACAACACCAGATCTCCTCTGACTGACCTATCCCACTCTGGCCTCTGAACCATCTATCAGGCATGACCTTACAATTACTCATTCAGAACCCAAAATATAACAATGTCAAAACAAAAAGAGGGCAATAGTCCTGGCTACCTTAAAACTAACCAAATAAAGGCAAGCTACAAAGACCTAGAGAGGCCACAAACAACCAAATTTGTCAAGTAAACTGAATGAGTTCCTTTTACTGAAGTATATCGGAGGAATTCTATTTCTGGTCCTTCCTGACCGTGAAAAGTTACTATCCTCTCTTCGCTTCAGCTTCCTCACTACAGAATATTCCTATGACCCCCAGTCTTCAAGGTTATGCTGACCATGAAAGAATAAAATATATGGGGAAGTATTGACCAGCACCCAGCCCTCAGTAAGACTTTGATAGTTATTAACTGAGTTGGATTAAACCTTATGGATGAAAAAATGCATAAACTTGAAATGTGCTATATATCAAAAAGTAGAAACTATAAAACTCAATATTATAAATTAGATATCTTGAAGTTGATTAAATATACACTGCTTACATGCTATAGCTTATTATCTAAAGAGACATTTAAAAAATCCTTCTACTAGAATTACCTTAAATTACAGCTGAATAAGCTTCACAAAATTTCTGAAGTATCAGCAGTCTGGGTAGTTGGCTGGAATATGTGTGTTAATTTCGCAGAAAAACTGAATCTCTAAATTTTGTGAAGCAATGAGTGTATGGTTATATACATCATGAGGCTCTACCAGAAGGAGAAAAAAGAAGCAGGTGATTTTCTCAAGAAAAAAATTTGAGAAGTCAGATGGGGCAGATCTGGGTGGGAGAGTGGGCAATGAACAACTGACCAAGAGTATAAAGATTCTAGAAAAGATGGTATAATACAGACCTTAATAACCTTGAGCCATGGTCACTCAACATGCTTAGAGGTTCTGCGGCTGATATTCAATAGCACTCACCAAAGTGAACTTTGATTTTGAGTACTGGGATAGCCCTTCACTCCAAGAAAATGAAAGAAGCTCCTAAATCTTTCCCTTATGTAGGAAATGAATGGTCAGTGTTGAACTCACCAGTTGATTCTGGTAGGCAGTGACTGCTGTGAAAACGGTCTCTGGGAAGATGAATGTTCTGAATTCTTCTGACTTCAGATTGAGCAATGAGGCTGTGTGGTCTTTCTTCTTAATGATGTGCACCCGTGGCTGGTACTTGTGCATTGAGTTCAAAATGATCTATGATGAAGAGATGGGAAGTACTGATTTTTAAGTATTCATATTGCTAAACAGGCCAAAGTTCAATGAGGCAAAGAAAGAACCATAAGATCTCAGCTTCGAATTCAAGTTTTAAGATTAGGACATACCCTTTCCATTCACAAGGCAAATCCTTTTCATAAGTTGCTGCAGAGTCATGGTTGTGAAATCACATTTTATCAAAACAGCTGTACACAATATAGGTTGTTTCAAGGGTCCTTTCTAAAATGATGGAGGGAAAGTCATCTGAAGGATGTTGATTTTTGTTTTTTAAATCAAGTCTTTAAAATATTTTTTGTTAGTCTGGTTAGACCAAAGGATGTATGGTCTAAATTTTCTAAAGTAAGAACTTATACATTCTAGGAGGACAGATTGCTATTTATGGTTGGGGGGGTGGATACAAAGAATTAAGAAAGGCTGTGTGGTATTAGACCTCAGAGTGCTAAGCCTGTTACTTTCTAGTTCCTTCATCTTGAGCCAACTGATCTCACCTCTGCAACCTTGTTTTCTCAAATGCAAAAACATACCTCACAGAGTTGTAGGAAGGATTAGATGATGTAGCCCTTATAAATTACATAGCAAATAGGAAGTGCTCAGTAAACATGAACATTATTATTATTATTATTTCTGACAGCTTCATTGATTCCTGGCTTCCAGTTATAAACCAAACATGAATGAGAGTGATGACCATCTTCCATTCTATAGCTAGTAAAAGTTGCCCAATACTTAGAAATCATGAGCCTACTTTGGTTAACAAGGCAGTATTTTTCATGTGTCTTTTGATTTGCCATTATGAAATCTGAGCAACAAGATTTACTTTCAGGGCGCCTGGGTGGCTCAGTTGGTTAAGCGACTGCCTTCGGCTCAGGTCACGATCCTGGAGTCCCGGGATCGAGTCCCACATCGGGCTCCCTGCTCGGCAGGGAGTCTGCTTCTCCCTCTGACCCTCTTCCCTCTCGTGCTCTCTATCTCTCATTCTCTCTCTCTCAAATAAATAAATAAAATCTTTAAAAAAAAAAAAAGATTTACTTTCAGATATAAAAGTTTTTCCACATCTTCCCCCCTGCCACTCAGACAGCTACCTAAATCTACCAAATTGGGTGTGTCTTTCCTGGGCTCACACTGTATGCCCTTCATCCCAAGGGCCTCGCAGAGAGCCTGGCTCTCAGGGGAGGCATGTGATACATACTGTGGCAGGAGCAGGGTCAATGGCATGCAGCGTTGTTGCAACTGACGGCGCCCCTGTTTTCTTGGCTACCATGGGTGTGGTAGATGAGCATTTTTGCTAGCTGACTTTAACAGAGTTAAATACTAGTCACTGTGGGATGATTAATATAGAATCAGTTTCTCCCTGTGCTGAGACGTAAGCCAACTTAAAGTTACAGGGCATTAGCTGGTACTGAATTTTGAACATGCCATCCTTTTATGGTCCCAAGCCTGAATAGGAATCACTAAAACAAATGAGTTTCAAATGAGCTGAAATAGATTTAAAAAAAAAAAAAAGTCATCTCTTTATATAATGTGTTTATTTCAGGGAGTTCAAGATATTTATGCTCACTCATAAAACTGGAATAAACTCAAAGTGACAATATCTAACTTATATCTAAGATATATTTATATATCTTAGATCTATCGTATATCTAACAATGATATAAGAAAAAACCTGAGCATTCATTATATGTTGTACTAACAAGTTAGAAAGAATTTTCACACACACACACACACACACACACACACAATGGAAAAAGCCCTAAGCTTTAAATAATATCCCTTCTCCCCTACTTACACCATCCCAAGGTCAATTTCCTTCAGGAAGGGGTGCCAGAGAGACTCAAACCTCAGACTGAATCTCAGCCCCCAGGGCTCCTTGACTCTCTGCTCAAGACCTCATAAGTCTAAGGAACACTAATAGAAATGTCAACTTTGCTTCACTGAAGAAATAAATTCCCTGAAGTAAAGAATTTTCCTGTTATAAAATGAAAAATGCATCTATAAGAAGGGCTTCTTCAAAACTAATTCAAAGGACTTGGCTGAACGACACAGGATCTAAAAATTTTTTCTTGTAGTTTTCAGAACACATTATTTATGGTGACAAAAGGTTATATTAAATAATAAAATTTTAAAGCTAAAATGGATATTAACAACCATCTAAGACTAAAAAATCTGCCAAGGTCTAATCTTGGCATAATCAGATGAGAACTCAGAGCTCCTAAAATACAGCTTGGTGCTATTTCCACCCATGAAGTCGATATTAAAAGGAAAACATATTAATTCTGGACAGCTGATCTCAAAATGAATTCTCAAGTCTTTCTGGAAACTCCCAAATAGTGCTTCTAAAAGCTTCACATAAGGGCACCTGGGTGGTTCAGTCCATTAAGCATCTGCCTTCGCCTCAGGTCATGATCTCAGGGTCCTGGGATGGAGCCTCATGTCCAGCTCCCTGATCAGCAGGGAGTCTGCTTCTCTCTCCCCCTCTGCTATTCCCCCTGCTTGTGCTCTCTCTCTCTCAAATAAATAAAATTAAAAAAAAAAAAAACACAACTATTCCAAGACTTTCCTCAATGATTTAAAAAATAATAAAATTAAAAATAAATAAATAAAAGCTTCACACATGGAAAATATCACAACCATAAAAAATTTCATTTCTCCCTGCAAAGATTTCAGTGGAGTCAAGAAATTTTAATATGAATGACATTAAGAATGATCTGGCCTGCAGAAAATGTCTCCCAGATACTTCATCATTTTTAATCTGAAAAAAAAAATCTATCAATGAAAACATCTCTTTAAAAAAGCAGAAAAAGACAATTATCCCAACATTCTTAAAGATAAAAGTCAATTATCTTTTCCAATACATAAAATAACAGAAACCTATTAACCTATTTGCAACATCGCAACAGTGCCACCAGCAGAGTCATGAGTTAACCTGGTTACTCTGATTTGGTCATGGGTGGGCAAATGGGTGGTGGCAATGCCTAAAGTGATTTATTTGGTTCCAATTTCACTCAAACCATTTGAAATCATTGGCTAGAACTCTCTAACTTATATCTACTTATAACCATCCTTTTTGAGAAAAGTTTGGAAACTACTAAATTGCACAGATCCAATTAAGAATGAAAACCTTAAGTAACAAGAGTCTTAATAAAGGGGTAAGACAGAGAATAATTATATCAAAGTATCTAAGCCAAGGGAAGCAACCAATGAATTGCTAAATCGAGGCAAAAAAAGAAATAGTCCTCTCCTTATCAAAAAGTATGCAAGTCTCAAGTTTTCTTAGCATAAAAATCTAAAACAATTTTTATGTAAATCTTTCTTTTAGAGCACAGAATAACATCATAGTTCCTTACAAAGCAGTCTTATCAAATGTGTAAATAGCCTGTGTCAATGGCTATTTGTGCTATTAATTATTGATATGGGCTCAGAATTCCAATTTCTCTTTTTCCATATTTTGATGAACTCCTTTTGACAAAAAATCAAACTGTTTTGTTTTTAATTTCAAGACTTCTCTGTGCTTTACTATTCATAAGACTCTCTACAATAGGGGTAGATAATGAGTAAAGAGCACTTCCCCATATTTGGACATAAAACCCTTTTGTTCTATTGCGTCTCACATGAACAGGCTCTACAAAACACACTTTGGGAAATCCCCATAGGAGATGTCAGCCCCATTTCCTTTACGCTGTGTTATCTAATATACCACTGACAGAAATCAGATGTTTCACCTAAGAACTATCATAGCCTCCAGAATGCACATTCCCTTTGTTTAGCTGGTGCTGGTAGTAAAGTAGTTGCAGTCTTGGGAAATTCATAGTGCCGAACGAAGGTCCCAGACCCTCTTGCATAGAAATGGCATATGGCATCCCTGTAAGTCGAAGGTCCCAGACCCTCTTGCATAGAAATGGCATACGGCATCCCTGTAAGTGGCCTCTTAAGAAGAGCAGTCAGGGTTCCCTGAACAACACATGAATGTTCTCACAGAATAACTGAGAGATGGAAGATGGGATGGGGAAAGGGAGGGGAAGAAGAGATTGAGAGGGAGGAAGTTCTGAGTGACTTCTCCATTCCATCCCAGGGAATCCACATAATCCAAGGCGCTGTACTTACATGGCCATGCTGATCCAGTTCGTTGTTGGTGAGTTTCACCTTTTCAAAAGACACCATCTGTTTGAGTAGCTGCTCACCAGTAAAAGGAGAGTCTGGGTGTACGTACAACCTAAGAAAATTATGAGAATGTTATTGAGACATCTTTTAAAACTCTGTTCTCTGTGGGTTATAAAATATTCTGATTCTAAAGGAACACAAAAACCTCATATAAATGGTGAATTTTATTTGCCCCAGATAATCTCAAATTTAATAATCTAACAGTATCAAAATAACTCTAAAACATCTAAATAGGGGCGCCTGGGTGGCTCAGTGGGTTAAGCGACTGCCTTCGGCTCAGGTCATGATCCTGGAGTCCCGGGATCGAGTCCCACATCGGGCTCCCTGCTCAGCGGGGAGTCTGCTTCTCCCTCTGACCCTCTTCCTTCTCGTGCTCTCTCATTCTCTCTCTCTCAAATAAATAAATAAAATCTTTAAAAAAAAAAAAAAAGGAAAAAAATTAAACAAAATAAAACATCTAAATATGTTTCTTCATGTACCGATGATCTAAAAGGGGTAATACCTAGTAAATTTTCTATTGTCTGCTCAGCAAGCCATTTTTAAAAAGGTGCATATTTTTCCATCTATCTAATCAACTATTGGTCTACTTCAGTAAAATACAAAATTTTATTACTGTTGTAGTATATTCAAAAGACAGACTAGTTTATACTAATTGTATAGTTCCTAGTATAAATACTGCTAAAAAGCAATGAAGGCATAAAGAACTGAAGAGGAAACAATTTTAGAGAATTCATTCATTTACACTTGAGGATGACTCAGTTTGAAGTTTATAAATACAAGACAAAGTAATTTTAATACAGCAACGTGGCTAACTCTTAATAGTCCACAGATCACAATCTGTTGCTCCTTCCACTATCTTAAATACTATTACTTTCATCTAGTTAAGTGCCCACTAAATGACAGTGAAAATAAGCTGGATAAACCTCAAATTATTCAGTGCATTTATTCACAAACAGTTTTTTTTGGGGGGGGGAACCTTTGATGGGAAAAATGTATTTATCAAGTATTTATCATTTATTGATCAGCTGCTACGTGCGAGGCAATCTTTTCCTCATTCACAGTTAAACACTGGCCATCTGTTCTACCAGGGATGGTTTACACAAAGTACAACACTTTGTAAATTCTAATCCTAGTATCCACTCGACATAAGCTTTTCTGAAGTCAGGGGAGATTACAGAACTCGTGAAAGAGAAGGAAATATCCCTGATTTAATAAGACAAATCCTTTTATCCATTTAACAGGTTATTTATATCTCAATTTTATATAGGTTCCTTATAATTTTAATTAAACATAAATATTATGGTTTGGGCAAAGTCAGGGGAGAAAGTCACAAAACCTCTCCCTGCAGTAGTTATGTAAAAAAACCAAGAAGGCTGTGCCATGCTTTGTCACACAGAGGACTAAGAATTAGGTGCCCATGCTGACAGACTAAAGCCCACCAGAAGCAGAGCACAATAAAGGCACTAGAAATTCTCACTAGACCCATAGAAGAACTTTAAAGGCTTTAGGTGTGGGTTTGTCTGCCTGTTTGTTTTGGAGGACTGCTCAAAAGTGCCTTTCAATTCAAGTATTCCTTAATGACACAACCATAATACTGTTTCAAGTACACCCCTCCAAGGCTAAAACTTCACACGTGCAATGGTTTTACTGACCAGCACATCCTACCTACTCCACCAAAAAAAGTTTAAAAATGAAGCTCATGAAATGTTCCCTCTCTATCAATTCAACATGTGGAATCACATTAATAAAGTTTAACTTATTTAAATATCAGTTACTTTAAAGACAACGAAATGTCCTATATGAAAACACAACATTATTTTAGATAATGTCTTGCCCGTTGTTGAGATCAAATGATATTGTCAAGTAGTATTTCTTCTGATTAGGAACAACTGACTGGTAAACTTCCATCTGAAATAAATGTTTCAACAAGAACCACAAGGAATTTCCACCATCAATACAAAAATGATTACCTCCCATATTCCTCACCTTTCCCTTATGGAGCTATGAAATATAGTGCTATTTTTTAATAATAATAAAGAACATTTGCTTAAATTATCTAGCATATTTCTATCCTATAACACACTAAACATTTTTATCTAATATCAATATAAATAAACTGAAGTATGATGAATGAAAACGCATACAGGAAGCCCCTCCTCTCTCAAGTCCCCCAGGACTTAAAATTCCAGCAATAGCTTAAACATGCTTCAGTTAAGATAGTGTATTGGTACGCGCTTTCCTTCTTCAACCAGAACAGATTAGTAACATAAACAAGGCATTTCATATTTCCAAAGTCCTGCTGGCCGGCACCAGTTCCCCATACCTTCGGAGAGTAAGAAAACATACGCTAAATAAGAGCGATTAACTTCTTAAAGGAAAGACTTTGGGGGGGGGGGAGGATGTGCTTGTAAAAATGGTTAGGAATCTGCTAAAATACCTCTCTCTCTCTCTCTCTCATTTAAAGATTTTGGAAAGTTTGGAAGGAAGCTTGAGAGTAATGTGAATCAGCTATTTAACAATAAATAGTAAAGAATACTAATTATAAACTACTAGAAACTGGTGAATCTTGCTCAATTTAAAAAAAAAAGGGTATAACATCTTTTAAAAAGTTCTTAGTCCGGTTATTTGTTATTTAATATGCTGATTTGGAAGGGTTGGGAAGATGTCCTTCCTAGTCTCTTGTGGGAATGGAAAACTCTGAGAGTTTTTTTAATCTCTTCTCCAGTGTATTTAGCATACTGTAAGCTCAGTAATGTGATTAATGACTAAGTAAGCGTAATATTCCATCTGAACTAGTTGGTGTAAATTGTCTGTGTTGGTTCTGTGCCTTGACTAAAACTCCAGACTAGATACTTACAAAGAACCAGCCATCAAAGTTCCTAAATCTGTACATGTAAATAAATTCTGAATTCTGATATGAAATTTCTAACCAATTAGAAAAAATAGATAGTCATAAAACAACTCAAAAACAGTAAGTCTTGGTTTAGAACCCTAAATGTAAAGTCTACTAATATCCTTTGTTTGTATTAAAGTGTGCAGTTAGGTTCCTATAACTTCAGCTACAACTTTTTGCATAAACTAATATATGCTTTTTTTTCCCCCTAGAAGGCTAATTTGGGTAAAGCAGAAACAATAAAAAACAGCATGTGATTTTTTAAACAGGGTTCTTCTTGAAAAACATTATTACCAATGAACAGAATAATAAACATATATGATCCCTAATATACTGAGTAATGTTTCATGTAAAAGAATATTAACCTGATATTGAATTACATGCATCTACTGAACTTACTATGGAGAAAGGGGAAAAAAATTAGCTTTTCTTTTTTTTTTTTTTAAGATTTTATTTATTTGACACAGAGAGACACAGCAAGAGAGGGAACAGAAGCAGGAAGAGTGGGAGAGGGAGAAGCAGGCTTCCTGCTGAGCAGGAAGCCCGATGTGGGACTAGATCCCAGGACCGTGAGATCATGACCTGAGCCAAAGGCAGACGCTTTAATGACTGAGCCACCCAGGCGCCCAAAAGTTAGCTTTTCTTACTTAAAATGTCTGAGTCCTTTATTGGTCAAAAACAACCACATTTCACCAAAATGACCTTTATTGTGTGCAGATATAACCATATTACTTAAAAATATTTACTATAAGCAACCACTTCACTAAAATGCACTCTTCTAAAAAGGATTTTTAGGGCAACCACTTCAGCATTAGCTGTATTCAGTCTGGTATTAAGTAGCCAACTAGAAATGATGGGTGCCCTATGAAATGGGTCCGGATTTCTAATGAATATTCTAACTGAAATTAGGAAAGCATGGAAATGAATTACGAGAAAGATAAAATTAAAGACAACATTCTGTCTCTACAAACTCTGCCTTTCTCAGATATTTTGTAGAGTCAGTCCTGGAGCATCTGGGCTTGGAATGCTTTCTACCAGAGCCCACCACTGTGCAAACAGATCTGCTTAAAATGCAACCAACCAGAGACATTCTGCTCTCGGGGTTAAGACGCATTTTGCTCTGCCCGAAAATCTGGAGGCACAAACCTGGCTGGCAGCGGCGGGTCTGCCTTGCCAGCCACCAGCCAGGAGGACCGGTGGTAGGCGTAGCGGTACCTCTTGTTGTCCACGGGTACGATGTCCATCAGGACTATGTACTTGGCCTCAGGATCCACACCCGAAAATGACACTCGGATGGTGGGAAACATCCTCCTGACACAGGGAAACAAAGAGAATCGGCCACAGCTCATACTACCAAAGGAGCCCACCGAATTAAAGAGGGAGGTCCTACTCCCCTCCCTACCCGGCCCCCAAGCCCTTTTTTGTTTCCACAGAGATGTGAATTCGGAGATCTTCCTTCTCCCAAGCAGAAATAATTTTAGGCGTCACCTTTTCCGGAGTCCTCATTGCTAGGTGAAAAGTTTTGTTTTGTTCTCTAATACCCAAAGGTCTGTGATTAGGGAAAACCTTAGGTTACATTATCAAGCCTGTTAGGCTCCCAAACCAAAGTCTCTGGAGCAGACTGAGTCGCCCAACCCCTAGGGTGGCAGAGAGAAAACTCTGCCCCGGCTACCGAAATCTAGGGCAGGGTTGGGTTTCCAGAGACCCTGGGGGTATTTCCCAGGGTCCAGAGAGCTGGAGTGACCAGGGCTGCCATTGGCCACCTTTAGAGTCTTTGCCCCAGGCCTGGGGAGCCGCCTGCACCCCCGGGGCTTCCGGCCCCACAGCACCAGGGGGCCTGCAGCACCAGCACTCTGTCCTACACAGAGTGTGGTCGTTTCAAATTTCATTCTTCTGCACAGGTTTTAGTTTTGGTTTTTAATGGGAGCTGGCGGCTTTTGCAAATTGAGACCAATAAAAGGGAAGCTACCTGCCTCCCTCCAAGTACCCGCGGCCCGCCCTGCACTCCCAGCATGAGTTCCCTCTTCCCTCCAGATGCCAACCCTGCAGCCCAAAGCCCTCTCAGACTGCAGCGTCCCAAGATCACTGGTCCCTGCACCCCTCTCATCAAGGCCAAGTTGGGTTTTTCATGGCCAGATCGCGAGAAAGCGAATGCTTAGACGTCTCAGCAGTTCTCTCCAAAAGCAAGTCCGGGGAAAGAAGGCCTCATTAAGCGAAGCTTCATTAAGCGAAGCTCTCTCAGTGCTCTGGATTAGTGGGGTTTCCCCCAGTTCCTGGGAACACCCTAGGCCACCCAGGGCGCTCTTCTCACCGCTCCACTCCTCACACACCAAGACCCCCGCTACCTGCCCGACTTGGTGATGATCATCTCTGTTCCCAGCTCGTGGAATTTGTCCCAGAGCTCCTTGGTCTCCAGGCTGCAGGCAATTTTGGCCATTTCCTCACTGGGGATGATGGGGGTGGTGGGGATCAGCGGCTCAGTACACAGAGAGGAGGAGGATGGGCTACTGCTGCCCCCACCACCAAACTCCCCGTGAGCATCCAGGCTGGTCAGTTCGCCCAGGGGCTGGGCACACGATGACTTCTCAACAAATTGTTCTGCGGGCAAAGAGAATGGAGGATGACAGCTAACACTGTCAAGCAAAGACACAGGAAGGAGAACAACACAACTAAAATAGGTTCTGGACTTGACTTTGGAACAGTTAAGGTCAGAAACTCCAGGAAGGCAGTGATAACCCATCAATATATATATATTATCTCCCTCGATATACACACACACACACACACACACACATCTCCCTGGAGTGACATACTAAACCAAATGAGTTCTAGAACTAATAGCTTATTACTACCATTATGAAAGCCACTTTGGGGACAAAAAATATAAGGAGTGGATAAAGGGAAAGGAGGTGATCAAGAAAGATGAAAAGCAAATATTCCTTTTGTTATCCCTCCCAAGTTCCAGACTGCTTGTGGGATCTGGTGCCAGTCCTGCCTCTCTGACAACCAGGCGAGATTTTTCTCCAGGGAGACCAAGGGAATGAAGAGATCAGCACCTTCCTTACTTTGACAGAAACTTTCCCTTCCATCCGGAGCCTTCTCTCCATCAGAAAAAAAATGAAAAGGGGAGGGGAAGTGGAGAAAAGTGGGGATGTGGTTAAAAGAAAAAAATTAAGTTACTCTACTTCTCTGCCTGGCTCTCCGTTTTCTAGGCTTTGATATGAGTGCATTTTTACAATATCCCTCCCAGCCTGAGATCTTATGAAAGACTCTAACATATCACAGAAGTGAGCTCCCCAGGCCATTTTGGGAACCGGTGTGAAACAACTGCTTGAGGGCAGTGTGTGTATTTTTCTCTCAAAAAAGTCCTGGAAGTAAGGAAAACAACCTCGACCCCAGGCTAGCAGAGTATTAAAGTAGGAAGAACGCCATCCACCATCAAGCTGGAATACCACTGCCTATGAACCAAACATTCTCCTCCACAGCTGATAAGGGCCCAGGACTACACCAGTCACTTTGATGGAATACAGGGGGACTTTTGTAATTGTCCCAATTATCTTGCATCCCTTAAAAAAGAAACTACTTGAATCTGCAATGCGAAACTGATCTCTAAACAACTCTGTTCTGAGTGCCCTCAAGGAATTGAAACAAGTTCTAAATGTAGGTATATACATATAAATGCTGTATATCATATAAACTATTTTATTTCCCATATTTCTCCTTTACTTGGGGCAGGCAAGCAGGAAACGGAATTTTTACCTTTTCTTCTTTTACAATAATAATCCAACTCATTGTAACATTTTAAATTAAGGATGACCAAATTAATTATCTTAGCCTTATATTTTCAAATTCAAAGAAAGAGAAGTATGCCACGGCACAATCTTATTTGCAACGAGTATTTTCAGAAACACATTCACGTAAGGTCTTTATAGGGAATCAACAAGTAACCTCAGAAATTTTCTTATTTTCTGACAATTGAAAAAGGCAAGTCCCTAAGCCCCAGACTAAAGACTGTCAGGGTTGGAAAGTGAAGGAGGAAGAAGATGATACAGAATTGCTCTAACACAATGTTATATGTCAATTGTATCTCAATTAAAAAAAAAATTTTTTTAAGAAATGTTCTAGTGATCTAAGGCAGTTCTTCTAAATAGATTTAGTGTGTTTAAATGGGCAAGCACAAGACACTTTCGAGTCCCCACCCCACAGCTCCTTCACCATCTCTCGTGTTCCAAAGTACCACATTCTCTCTTAACAGAACCTCTAGGTGTTTCTCTTGCGGGAGTCCTTGGCTTATTATGCTCTGTTGAACTGGCCTGTGGAAAGGACAAGAATGCCTTCTGCTTCTTTCAGAGCCTGTCTCAAAAGCCCAGGGGAGGGAATGTTCATTTTACAGACTGTGTGTGTTTGTGGTGGGGGAGAGGGGATGGCTTTATAATTTAGAATTTAGATAGAAGGTGAGAATTCTCAGGAAAAGAAACAGAAAAGAAAGCAATACTGAAATGAGCTGGAAATGGCATGTTTCTCAGTCTGCTGTCTGTAATTCTGACAGGAATTTTAACCCCAAGTGCTCTTTTCCTGCTAGCTACCAAACTGTGTTGGGGGTGTTTATAAAGAATTCAGAGGCCCTCTAAATAGGAGTGGATAATGTTGGGCAGTTTCACAAATACAACTTTGAAATTGGTGGCTAATATTTCTGTAAACAGTTGGGGGTTTTGTTTCATTGGTTGTTACCATATTTTTTCGGCAGGCTTAGATTTTGACAGGAGGGCAGGTGGGAAGAACCAGAAAAAGGGAGTGAAAACCTTGGAGGAGAGAATTTTTGACATTATATTTTCTGGAGATCTTCCGGTTTCCCTTTCCTTGGTTCTAAGCTGCTCCGGGGATTTTAGCTCTTTCTTTTCTCTCTGCCCGGCCCTCTTCTTTTTCATCTCTAACACTTTGTCTTTCATACTAGGATTGTTGTTTCAGATGTGAGATGTTAAAGTATTGGAAAGGACAGGAAGAAAAAAAAGAAAACACTCGGGAGAGTTAAAAAAGAAATATTACCCTAAGTTTGCTATTTGACATTTCTCATCATTTTAGGGCTATCAGATGATCAGGATGTGGAATAATTATTTCCCAGGGACCCAAGAGGTGATGATAACACTTCTTTCTCTGTCAATTATAAAGGAACTTTGAAACACTCAAGTCCAGCAGTTTCTTTCCCACACAGTTCACTTGTGCTCGGAGAACATAATCCTTATTTTCCCTTTACTCTGAGCCTCGTGTCTTCTATAAATGGTAAAGGTTGTTAAACAAACAGTATAGCTAAAAGTTGAGGAATTTGGAAAATGGTTACTGGCTAATGTTTTTGCCAACCTCCACTGAAAATGATGGCAGCTATAAAACGATGTCTCACTGATAAGTCTGGAGCTTCCGTTAAGAAAATGGTTCACGTGGGGAGAACTGGCTTATTCTACAGCACTTGACGGTGGTTTTAAGGAGCTGGTTCTGCTTAATCGATTGAAGTCAGAGGAAAAACAAAATTCAACTAGTTCCTTGTGAAGTCGCTTAGTCTCCTTGGTATCAAATGCACACGCAGGTGTACACGCTTGGTAAATTCTGTTGAGTCTTAAAAGGGGTTAATTATTACTTATCCCTGACTGTTTTTATCCCAAAAAAGTTACACACACTCTCATACGTACGACTTGACACGGGGATTCTGGACGAAAAGGTAGGGAAAGTGGCTAGCGCATAGAGGAGACGCGAAACCGGCTGTCCGTGAAGTCCCCAAAGAAAATTTGGGCGGAAAAGGAAAGAGTCTTCAACCCCTAGCGTCGGGCGCCTGGCCTGAGGATCAGAAGCCGCCACCAGCAGGGAAAGGCGGCCACCCTCTCGAGCCTCCCGCAGGCAGGGGACGGAGGGCCAGACGGAAGCGCAGCAGCCCCGCCCCTGCCCACGGCAGACATTCAGGACTCACCCAGAGGCTTGATGGTGTTCTCTGTGGCCTCCTTCTCCTTGGAGCCGCCGCTCGACATGAGCGCGGCGATGGAGAAGGCGTTGGCCCGGGAGGAGAGCTGTGGCTTCGGCGACGCCGTGAACTCCATGGCCCCCAGCGCGCGGTCCTGGCCACGGACGGGGCCTGCCGAACTGCCGTCCAGCTTCCCCAAGGGAGACAAAAACCGACACAGAGCGCAAAGTTTCCAAGTGCAGTCTCAGCGGAGTCGGCAACTCCAGATGAGTCAGCCCCAACCTCCCAAGAGCTCCACACTGGCCTCTGTCCCTCACCGCAAAGCCCTCCAGCCCCAAAGACTTCCAACTAGCCGGAGAGGACAGGACAGGACCAGCAGCGGGCTCAACCGGGTGCGCGAACACTGGGGCGCTCCGCAGGACCACGGGCTGCGCGGCTGGAAGGTGGAGACGAGCATCGGACGCGCAAAGCCCAGGGGTCCTGCCGCACCCCCTCTGCGTCCTTCCTCCCTCCACGCGCTGGGGAACAGCCGGAGCGGCCCAAGCTGCAGGAAGGTGGCGACCGGTGGGGCGCCGCTGCGAGGGGGCGGACGCCGGGGAGCGCCAGCGAAGGCGTGCCGAGCAAGGCGCGGCGCGGAGAACACTGCGCCCGGGCACTCGCAGCCCTGCGCCTTAATTTGCTGGCGGCAGCGATCCCGGCGGCCCGCAGCCAGTCAGCGCCGCCTCACGTCACCGCTTCCTGATTCCGCCGCCGGGGGCGGGGCCGCGGGCCCGGCAGGGAGGGCGCGTCCCGGGCGTGGTGCCCGCACGGCCTCGCGCCGCTACCGGCCGCGGACCTGGCGCCCTTTCGGAAAAAAAGTGTCACCACCAAGCTGCCGCGGACGCCCCTAGCCTGGTCTCGAAGTCCCACGGCGGAAGGGACGTGCGCGCGGTCGGGAGCGGGTATTTTTGAAGCGGCTAGGACGCGGGATTCTGGGAGATTCCCCAGTGCGGGAACCTAGACCAGAGGTAGCCTGGGGGAGTTCCTGCTTCTTCCGTTCTTTTTCTTCCCCGCGCTCAAAGTTGCAAAAGAAAGTTGGTAATCTCTAAATGGAGCGGAAACCGGCGCCACAGAGCCAGCACCTAACGGGCCAGATCCTATTCGCGGGACAGCTCCCAGGGCCGGTCCCTTCATTCGTTGGGCTCCAAAATCTGCTTCACAGGGGGACTGGAGAGACATAGCTTCTGCTGCACATCAGTGCGCCACTTATGCGGGGTTCCTGTTCCCGAAAGGGACTCCACAAAGTGGGGCCCCCACGAAGGGAAGGCGCGGGGCGGGCGCGGTGCCGGGGGGCGCGGCACCCTGCGGGGACCACGCGACACGCAGTGGGGGAGTGCGAGATTTACAGCGCCTGAGCTTGGTAGACAAGGACTCTTCTGCCTTCGCGAACTAGGCTGCGACCAGGACTTCCCACGGCCTTATGGGGGTCGTCCTGTTGGCCCTGTTCAGCTTGAATAACTCAAATTCTCCGAATTCGCAGGGTAATCCGCTTCACTTGGAGCCGTGTAAACTCAGGCTGACACACACACTCAAGTTGTACATGTAAATATTTGCGCTCCTTTCCAGCCAGTCGGTCTGGCGATTAGGAGCCTCTTGGTGGGTCTTAACATTTAAAAGAAAGAGAAAACAGCTTCCATTTCCCACCAGCCCTTTTCTCCCCTCCCTGCACCCCTGCCCCCCAGTCTCCTGAAATAAACTTACGGGGAAAAGCTAAAAAAGTTGAGAACTTTTATGAAAGTGAAGTGATGACATCTGGGAGAGTCGTGATTTAAGCCACTTTTACCAATGTGTATCAATAGTTTCTAACAAGGTGCTGCACGCAGTGACTAAAAAAACGCATTCTGCTATCAGTTTCCAGGTACAAAGTGTCTATGTGCAAATATTTGGGGAAATTCGTAAAATCATAGGCTTTATTGCTGGAAGGGGTTTTGCACATTCCTGTAGCGTATCTCCATTTGCTTTTGAGAAGGAAACACCAGGTAAGGCTTGGCAGGGGTACATCTCCTTTCCAGTCGGCCCAGCTGGCTAGAGGCAGACCCCAGAGCGCCAGACCGGCACTCCAGGCCACTGTCTCGGTCACACGATGGCCCTGCAGCTGTGCCTGGGCTGTTCTCGGGAGATCGATAGTAGAGCTAACGCCGGCTGAGAGCAGAGGGCTCTCAGATTAAACCTCAGGAAGAACAGAGGCTAAGCCAACCAGGTGTGCCTAAGGATCCGTTTCCATTCTTGAGCCTTTAAGTCTTTTGCTGTTTTTGGACAACCCAGACCCTCCACTGTTGTTGTTGAAGACCACTTCGTCCCCCAGCACATACCCCATCTCAATGCAACAGTGACATTTCCCTCTTGAATGTAAGGCACACACTGGTTCCTTTCCTGTCTCAGAAAGGGAGATTTCTGATAAGAGGGTTTTTTGTTTTTAACTTTTTATCGGAGTGAGGGTGATGTCATAGTTGGTCCAGAGCTTAACATATGCTTCAAATGGGTGGTGAAGATCTTTTTGCTGGTTTTAGTTTTCAAAAATTTGCAGAATTATACCACAATTTTTAAAAACTTACCATTACTTTTCTACACAGAGGAAACATCGTTTCTTTTCGTAATTATCCTAATGGTTTAGAATGGAATTTGAATAATTTCATGACAGGGACATTTTTAGAAAAATTGGCCCAGCGAGGGGAAAGCTGACTTGCCCCCAATCAGCTTCCTCTTCCTTTTCCAATTGCCACGGCGGTAGCCCAGTTCTGAGTCTCTTGTGGGCAGAACTCCGACTATTCATCGTATTAAAGGTAAATAGAAAGCACAAAAAGCTAAATGAACGCGCGGAGGCAGGAGGCAAACCAGAGGAATTGAAAAGGCCACTTTAAACAAATCCGGGCGCGAGAGGTGAGCCGTTTGGGGATCCCTAACAAGCTATGTATCTTGTTGGTGTTGAAACCGTGGCAGTAAAATGTATACTACAATATAATTATGTGGGGGGTGGCACCCCATCCCTTCTGTTAGATTTATTGCCTTTGCAAGTAAATATGGTGCTATAAAAACGGGGAAGCGGTGCTTGGCAGAGAGAAGCTGTCAGAGGGTGATTCGAAGCCGTCCTGAAGCGGAGAGCGCTGAAGTTCTGAGGTCCCTTCAAAACTCAGTGTTAGCGCGGGTTACAGGTAAAGCCACCACAGGGGTTGGAACAAAGCAATCACATTAACACTTCCCTCCAGGCCCTGCTCAGGCTGACGACAGGCGGGCGGGTGCTGCTTTCGGATACGGGAACGTGCAATCGGACTTGTAGAAGGCTTTGAATCTTGACTTTAGACCGCTTTAGCCCTAAGACTTCGTGTAGGTTATCTAAACCTCTCAAAGCCTCAGTTTCACCATCTACATTAAAAAAGGGCCTGGAAGATGGCTCTGTGGATTCATGAGATAACGTGTAAAACCCCTAAACTATAACCTTAACACCAATGTATGTAAAACATAAGTACAGAATTTTATTATATTTAAATTTTGAACGGCAACTTCGTGATCGTGGAGACGTATCTCTCGCTCACGCTTGTCAAGTTAACTGTACAGACAGTTTTGGAATGTGCGCAGAGGAGTGGAGTCACATGGTGATAATGAGCCGTTCCTTACATCCCGTTAAACTTTGGAGCCTAAGAATTAAACATTTTGGTTATACGTCTGAGTTTGGTTATATGGAGTTTGGAGACCTGGAAGACGTCTCCCTATACATTCCACACTTTCGAATTCGCATTTGTAGTCTCCGGAACTCAAAAATTAGTGGTAGCAGAGAACAGCCCAGGAAGTAACTGGTTTCCCGCTTTTGGCCAATGATCCCTCGCTTAACGAATGCTAACGCAGAATCCTCCGCCGACAGCGGCTGGGACCCGTCCGCGCCGGGTCTCGCTCACCGGCGGCCAACACCAGGAGCGCGAGCTGCGCCAGGGCTGCGGGACCGGGTTCCAGACCCAGAGCGCCGCCGTGCACCTGAGGGTGACAGCGGGAGAGAAGGTGAGAAAAGAGACCTGCTTCAGGGCACAAGGGCAGCTACTCGCGAACTTGGCCCGAGATCCCGTCCTCATCCTCCTTTCCTCTCTTTCTGGTAAATGCTTTAAAAGCGACAGAAATGGTGCCTTTGGATTCCTAAATTCGGTTTACGTAACAGAAAAGTCCCGAAGCAGCGTGGGGAGGGCGACCGCAGCCCCTCGGAAGCCGCCGCAGCACGTCCCAGGGGAAAGCAGCGCGCGTCCCCGCGCCGGCAAGGGAGCGCGCGGCGAGGCCCGGGATTTCGACCGCTTGGCGGGAGGGCTGCTAGTCCGAGCCTTTCCTGGGAGAAGTCCGGGCCTTAGCTCAGACCCACACCCTGACGGGGTTAAGTTTTCTTGAACCCAAATGGTGCCCTTGAAGCACCCCTCCAGCGCAGGCCCCAAGAACGGGCCTGGAGCGTCCAGGCCTTCGGGCCCACCCCGGAGGCCCGTGGGCCTGGCGCTCGAGGCGCCTTCGCCCAGTTCTGGCCTTAAGGGCAAGGCAAAGATCAGCTCCTCTAGGGGTGAGGCGGGAGGTTGTCGTCTGTTTGGCCCCAGGTGTGCGCGCTTTTGGTTCGGGACTTCACACTTGCGCCCGCCCGTGGGACCCAGAAAAGAAATGTCTTGTGCCCCTAGGGAAGGACGTGCCCATCTCCAGGGCCCGTGGCCTCAGGTGGTGAAGGGAAAGGCACTTGCGGCCCGTGGTACTGCGACGTTACCCCGCCGGACCCGGCTAGTGGAGGCCTGCCGCTGTGGGTGCCCGCCGCTCTTGCCCACCCCGGGCCTCCCCCCACCCCGGTTTTCACCAAGCGGGTCCCCCCCTCGACCCTCCCCAGCCTGGGGCCAGAGGTCAGGCGTGGGGCCTCAGAGACTCCTCACAGGCTGCTCGCTCAGGGCCTCGACCCTCCGGATCCTCGTCCCCCAGAAGCTCGCAACTGCAGGGATGGGCTCTTAGCGCCCCCCCCCCCGCCCAGATCTCCCCTGACCAGAGAAGAACCCGTGCACTAGAGTTGGGTGCAAAACTCGCAGAGTGATCCTAAGACCAGTACAGAGAGACTTCTCCTGATACCGCGGGCGCGAGGAATCCAGACCCACTCTCCCTCGCCCCTCCACCTTCCTTTCTCCTTCTCCACGAGTGCTCCCGCCTTCCTCCGCCAATGCTCCTCCTGGGCGGTCCCGGTCTTCCCGCACCCAACCGCCCGCGCGGCTGCTGACGGATCCAGTCTTTACTTAAAGCTAAAATATTTTGTACACCATGAATTTTTTCATGAATTTTTATGTCTTAAATTGCTGCATTAAAATATTGTTTCTCGATTACTGAGGTTTTTGTCGACCCTTAAGTTGGGGGCTTTCACCCTACTCCCAGCCCTGTCAAGAAGGTTAAGAATCTGATCCAAATTACACTGATTTAAGCGGTAGAACGGGGATTCTGAGGCCAATCTCTAGCTTGGAAAGCATCGCTCCTGCCATTACGGTGCACCCTGGACTGATTAAGCAGGAACTCCCACTAGGAGGAGGAGAGCGTGGACAGAGGACAGTCCCTTGCTTCAGGATGAAGGTCCTGTTGGTCAGGTGTCCTCGTCTGCCCGCACAGACTCATGCGCGCAGAGGGGACAGCCAGACAGGTGGCCCCAGCAAGCTTCCTGAGC